TATATACTCACTCATATAAACATACAATATAGAATAAACCCACTAAAATCTGTACATCTAAACAAACTAAGCAAAAGAGAGGACCCTAACTAAAATGTTCAATCCCCATCCTGAAAGGCAAAGAGGATGGACATCAGAAGAAAACGAAAATAGGAAACAACCTGGGAACCCCCTACAGAGGGCCTCTGAAAGCCAGAAGAAAACAGGAAACAACCTTGAAACCTGCCACAGAGGGCCTCTGAAAGCTTCTGCAGTATAAACTGTCAAAGCAGATGCTGAGCCTGATGGCCAACTGATGGGCAGAGTGAATGGAATTTTATGTAAGAAGTGGGAAATAGTAAGAGCTGGAGGGGACGGGAACTCCACAAGCAGAGCAACAGAACAAGATAATTTGAACACAGGGAACTTCCCAGAGACTCATACTCCAACCAAGGACTATTCGTGGAGATGACCTGGAACCCCTGCACAGGTGTAGCCCATGGCAGTTCAGTGTCCAAGTGGGTTACATAGTAATGGGAAGAGGGACTGCCTCTGACATAATCTGATTGGCCTGCTCATTGATCACTTCCCCCTGAGGGGGGAGCAGCCTTATCAGGCCACAGTAGAGGACAATGCAGCCACTTTTGATGAGAACTGATAGACTAAGATCAGAAAGAAGAGGAGAACCTCCCCTATCAGTGGACTTGGGGAGTGGCATGCATGCAGAAAGGGGAGGGAGGGTGGGATCGGCAGGGGAGGAGGGAGGGGCTTATGGGGGGATACAAAATGAATAAAGTGTAATTAAAAAAAAAAGAAGAAACTGCAGCCACTCCTGATGAGACCTAATTGACTAGGATCAGAAGGAAGGAAAAGAAGAGCTCCCCTATCAGTGGATTTGGGGAGGGGCATGCATGCAGAGGGTGGAGGAAGGGAGGGATTGGGATGGAAGGAGGGAGGGAACCACAGGGGGGATACAAAGTAAATAAAGTGTAATTAATAAAGAATTAAAAAAAAGAAAAGAAAAAAGAACTTATATAGTAATCTTAAGGAAAATTTTGTCAAAAAAAAAAAAGAATAATAGAAATAGAGGAAAAAGAAGATTCCAGTCTCCAAGGCCCAGAAAATATTTTCAACAAAATCGTAGAAGAAATGTTCCCCAACTTAAAGGAGAGGCCTATAAGAATACAAGAGACCTACAAGAACACCTAATAAATAAGACTCTAAGAAAACACAGATGTCAGCCTAGGCTACTATACCCAGCAAAACTCTCAGTCATCATAGACAGAGAAAACAAGATATTCAATGAAAAAAAATAAACAATACCTTCCCACAAGTCCAACATTACAGAAGATACTAGAAGGAAAAATACAACCCAAGAAAATTAACTACTTTCAGGAAAGCACAGGAAATAAACAACTTCACTACAGCAAAACTAAAAGTAGCCAAGCACATAAAAACACTACCACAACCAACATCAAAATCAAAGAAACAAACAGTGACTGGTCATTAATCTCTCTCAACATCAATGGACTCAACTCTCCAATAAAAAGATACAGACTAACAAAATGGATGCCTAAATAAGACCCAACAATCTGTTGCATACAAGAAAAACACCTAAATCACAAGACAGATATTACCTGAGAGTAAAGGGCTGGAAGATGATTTTTCAAGCAAATGGATCCAAGAAGCAAGCAGGATTAGCCATTCTAATAGCTAATAAAATAGACTTTCAACCAAAATTAATCAAAAGAGATGGGGAAGGACACTTCACACTTGTCAAAGGAAAATTCCACCAAGAAGACATCACATACAATCATGAACATCTATGCCCCATATACAATGGCACACATATTTGTAAAAGAAACATTAATAAAGAAGCTAAGCAAGAAGGAGGACCATGGGTAAGATGCTCAGTCCTCATTTAGAAGGGCAAATCGATGGACATTGTAAGAGAGAGAAAACAGGGAACAGGACAGGAGCCTACCACAGAGGGCCTCTGAAAGACTCTACCCTGCAGGGTATCAAAAACAGTTGCTGAGACTCATAGCCAAACTTTGGCAAAGTGCAGGGTATCTTATGATAGAAGAGGCAGTTGAAAGACCTGGAGAGGACAGGAGCTCCACACAGTGAACAACAGAACCAAAAATTCTGGGCATAGGGTTCTTTTCTGAGACTCCAACCAAGGACCATGCATGGAGATAACCTAGAACCCCTGAAAAGATGTAGCCCATGTCAGCTTAGTCTCCAAGTGGGTTCCCTAGTAATGGGGACAGGGATTGTCTCTGATGTGAACTCAGTGGCCTGCTCTTTGGTCACCTTCCCCTGATGGGGGCAGCCTTATGAGGCCACAGAGGAAGACAACACAGCCAGTCCTGATGAGACCTGATAGACTAGGATCAGATTGAAGACAAGTAGGACCTCTGCTATCAGTGGACAGGGGGAGGGGCATAGGTGGAGAAGAGGGAAAGAGGGTGTGTTTGGGAGGGGTTGAGGGAAGGGGCTACACTTGGGATACAAAGTGAATAAACAATAATCAATAAAAAATAAATAAAAGTTTTAAAATGGAGACTTGGAGGCAAAATGGATTCTGATACACTAATGGCTACAACAGGTGTTAACAGAGGAGCCATAGTTATGGTAAGAAATAAAGTAGGTGTCAACAGAGGGGCTATAAAATTTAAGGAGGTTACAAAAGTTCCTTGTGTTCACTTAATGTTTTCTGTCAACAGTTTTAAAATAGTTGGAATGTCATTTAGTTTCCTTTTTGAGTTAGTATCAGGGAAGCAAGACATGCTCAATATCTAACAATTATTTGTGTGTGTGTGTAAAAGTGTTTTTTATTTGTCATTATTGGTATAATCAGATGCAACATATATTTTCGAATAGTTTTTTTAAAATAATTTCTTCACTTCTTCACTTTTCATTCCAATTTTAGCTTCCTTCCTCATTTCCTCCCAATCCTACCCTCCCTCCCTCTTCCCCCCACCATCCCCTTCTCCCAGTCTACTGATAGGGAAGCCCTTCTCCCCTACTTTTGAACCTGACCTATCAAATCTCATTAGTACTGCTTGGAACCCCTTCCTCTGTACCCTGGGAAGGCTGCCCCACCAGGGTGAGATGATCAAAATGCAGGCAAGCAGGTTCATGACAGAGGCAAACCCCTGTTCCCCTTACTTAGGAATCCATATGGAGACTGAGCTGCCTATGAGCTATATCTGAGCAGGTGGTCTAGGACCTCTCCAGCATGGTCCTTGGTTGCTGCATCAGTCTCTGCAGGACCCCCTGGACCCAAATTTATTGGCTCTGTTGGTCTCCTTGTAGAGCTCCTATCCCCTCCAGGACCCTCTATTCCCCACCACTACACTTTTCCATAAACCTCCCTGTGTTCTTCCCAAAGTTTGGCTGTGAGTCTCTGCACTTGCTGCACAAATACAGATTTGAATTTAATGGACACAGTTTTCAAAATTAATCCTTTCTCATGACTTTTAAAATTATTTTATACAATACTTTATTATAAAAACCTTGAAAATAAAATGCCATTTTATTTCTTAACCAATTTAACTCTTCTAGCTGCATAGACGTTCACTGAGACATACTTTGGGTGTGATTAATCTCATGGATTTTGTTGGTGTGGGTCATTATAGTATTTCAGTTCTACCCAGTGCAAGCAATGCATACTTTTTCTAAAATTTGTTTTTTTCTCATATACTGATGGACAACAGTACTGTTAATTATGATTTTGTTTTCCTTTTTGAAAATGCCACAGTGATGCCCTTACTGGAAAAAAAATGGTTTCCTACCTCTGAAATGTTATCATTGGTACTTGAATGATAAAATTTTAGTACTGTAGATGGGCTTTTGTCATGAATGTGACTTAGAAGAAACGTTTAGAGTGGACTACCACATATACCTTCATGAATTTTGCAGTAACTGGTATTTTGTCTTTTTTTCCCCCTCTTCTTTCTCTACTTAACACATAAATTGAGAATTTGGTTTCTTGTTGGAAGTTTTGTGAAGTGACCAGAAACTTCGGTGCTTGCACAATGATTTTACTTGAAATGCAAGAAGAACTGAAATGTTTCAACAGTGTACATGTAAAGACTTTATTTACACTATATGCTAAAAATATCTTTCAGTTTCTTTAAATGCATCTTTTAAATAACTCATCAAAAATGATCTGTGAAAAGTTGAGTATCAATGATATTTTTCTTCTTTCATATCAGCTACCAAAATAGCTTTACACAATAAAAAAAAGACTAATATGTTTGGCACACCATGTTAAACTACTGTTGTGTTCAGCTTTGTTGTGTGTAAGGTAGACCTAGTCTTTCCAGTCCTGTATTCTGGAAAGCGTTCTTCATTCATAAAAGTTTTAAGTTAGAATAACAGTGAAAATAATCTTTAATTACTAGAGCATATATTTCATCAAATTTATACTAAAATATTTCTCTTAATAATTACTAAATGCTATTTTTATTTTTAACTTCCAGATTATCAGTTACTGACATACAAAAATGCAACTTTTTGCATATTGACTTGATAAACTATCTATTGCTGTTGCAATAAATTGTTATAGAATTACTGGCTTAAGACAACAGAAACTTCTAGAAGTCTAGAAAATAGTTCTAGAAGTCATAAATCAGAAATGAGTATCTCAGCCAAGAAACGCACTTTTAAAGTAAAAGGAACCTTTCTTCTTCTATTTTTTAGTTTGTATATTTCACCTATAGTCTTTGACTTGTGACCATATGCTCCCACATTCAAATATAGAATTCACGATGAATATTTTCTGGTGCTGTTTTTTCCCCCTCAGGTCATCTCTTTTTACTTCCTCTTTTACTGTTATATATGCTTATAATTACATTGAGTCTACTCAGTTAATTTTATATCATATCCTTATTGTAAGGCCGTAATATTAAGAATACTGATTACTAAAGTGTAATTAATAAAAAAAATTTTAAAAAAAGTAAAAAAAAGAATACTGATTACATGTGTAACTTTTATTCCATTCTGTGCTACAGGAGATGATATAACCAAAGCTTCTCCATATACCTGCACAAGACCAAACCAGCGTGGATGGGAGGAATTCACAAAGTCCTACCCCAAGCTAATGAGCTATTGGCAGCTGATGGCTGCTAGGAAAAGAAGAAGTCTTTCTGGTAAGTTGACCACATTCCAGTGCATGGCTCCATATCTATCTGCATACACCTGGCACCAACTCGATTTAGAGGGCTATAAAATATTTAAATGAGAGGACATTCAGGTCAGGTGGGAGAGGGAGCTGGTAAAGGTGTCTGGGAGAGGTACAGGGGAGAATGGAAGTAGATATCATCAAAATACATTATATGTATGGAATTTTCAAAGAAAGAATACACACACACATATATATAAAGGTTTTTTTTTTTTTTCAATACAGGGTTTCTCTGTATAGCCTTGTCTGTCCTGGCCTCCCTTTGTAGACCAGGCTGGACTAGAACTCACAGAAATTGGCCTGCCTCTGCTTCACAAGTTCTGGGATTACAGGCATGTGCCTCTGTGCCTGGCTAAATATATACATACATACATACATACATACATATATATATATATATATATATACACACACACACACACACACACATATATATATATATATATATGGCTAATATTATAATGTCAAGAAGTACAAGAAGGAAATCAGTAAAACAGTAAAAACAGTAAAAAGGTGTGTTAAGGGTATTTTACGTTTAATTTGTTTAAGAATTTAAAAAATATTTAAAATATCTTGAAGATAAACTGAGTTTTATGATGTGGTTTGAATATATTTGACCCCCATGAAGCAATTTGATTTTTATATGAATTACATTATTATTTAATACATGAGAGAGAAACAAGAAATATCAGACTTTTTGTTTATTTTTTATAATTTCATATATATGCAATGTATTTGCAAAATTTTTGTACTTTTCCACCCACAACTCTTCAAATTCATAATCTCATCTTCTTTGATTATTATTGATATATAGCCTGCTAGTCCATTTAGTATTTCTCATATATATGTACATTTAGAGCTAATAACCTGTCGAGGACTTTTTTTCTGGAGAAGGCTTGATGTTCCTCTCTGAGCTCTTCATCTAGGGGTGAGATCTGTTAGATACATGAAATGCTCACACCACATCACATATCAAATTCATTTCCTGTTTTATTCTATTTCTAAATGATTTTATGTTGTGGCATGTATGCACACACATATAACCATGATAAATAAAAATGAAACAAGGAAAGCATCCTGCAAATGCTAAAATGTAATAGAATGCAAAGTGATCAATTAATTATAGTACCTAACTTTTAAAAATCAAAATGAATTAATTCTCCTTTGTGAGGGAAGTAGAGACTGTCGAGGAAAAATTAAAAATACATCAAAACTCATTTCCATGTTTAACAGTGACATTTTAATTATAAGAATCTGTAAGCTCATTTGTTCAGATTTTTGGCATCATGTGTGGTGATAATAACAATATTCATGATGCGTTCTGTTTTCAATGCTTGTAGAACTCCTGATTTATCTTCCCAGATGTTCCTGATAGCTGTGTCTGTACTCTTCTGTGTTAGGCAAGTGCATGTCTGGGACCACAGTGTTCCATCACCATGGTTTCACTAGATTTAATAAACTGTTGCTTAGCAAATCCACTCGTCATCCAGCTATTTTGTCTTTGCACTGTCTTCATGTTATGTCCCTGGTAAAATGTAGCTGAGCCTCTTGGCAATGGAAAATATCGGTCTCAACGTCAAACATAATCTTCCCATTTGGAACTGTTTTATTTTTCTTAAATTAGAATGGCAAATGTCAGAGAGCATTATAATTTAGTGCCAAATATAGAATCTATGGAACAAGCAGATGTATTCACAACTTGGGGTGTTTGAACTTTATTCAATTACTAATCTCCCTGTGTCTCATATATCTCATTTGTAAAACATGATAATTACACTCATCTCAGAGGACCATTGTGAGGATTAATTTAGATAACATAACTGAAACTCACCTGATACTTCATTAAGGGCCTGTCAATTGTTACTGACATCAAGAGATTAAGATGGATATTAGCCCTCTGTCATATATAGGGTTGGTGAAGCTCTTTTCCCAGTCTGTAGACTGTCATTTTGTTCTGATGACAGTGTCCTTTGCTTTACAGAAGCTTTTCAGCTTCGTGAGGTCCCATTTCTTGATTGTTGATCTTAGAGCCTTTTTAAAATATTAATCACAGGTTATTTATTTATATCCCAGCTGTATCCCCCTCCCTCATTCCCTCCCACTCCCACCCTCCCTCCCTCATCTCCTCCCTGCCCCTCTCTAAGTCCACTGATAGGAGAGGTCCTCCTCTGCTTCCATCTGACTCTAGATTATCAGGTCTCTTCAGGATTGGCTGCAATGTCCTCCTCTGTGGCCTAGCAAGGCTGCTCCTCCCTCGGTGAGGGGGGGTGTGTTAAAAAGCCAGCCATTGAGTTCATGTCAGAGACAGTCCCTGTGTGTGGGGGGGGTGTTAAAAAGCCAGCCATTGAGTTCATGTCAGAGACAGTCCCTGTTCCCTTTACTAGGGAACCCACTTAGATACTGAGATGCCATGGGCTATATCCAAGCAGGGATTCTAGGTTATATCCATGCATGGTCCTTGGTTGGAGAAACAGTCTCAGAGAAGACCACTGTGCCCAGATATATTAGGTCCTTGTGGAGCTTCTGTCCTCTCCAGGTCATACTTACTTGCCCTTCTTTCATATGATTCCCTGCACTCTGCCTAAGGTTTGGTTATGATTCTCAGCATCTGCTTTGATACACTGCTAGGTAGAGTCTTTCAGAGGCCCTCTGTGGTAAGCTCCTGTGCTGTTACTTGTTTTCTCCTACTTCCAATGTCCATTCCATTTGTTTTTCTAAGTGAAGATTGATCATCTTACCCTGGGTCCTCTTTCTTGATTATCTCTTTAGGTGTACAGATTTTAGTATGTTTATCCTATCTTATAGGTCTAGTATCTACTTATAAGTGAGTATATAACATGTGTATCTTTCTGCTTCTGGGATACCTCACTCAGGATGATTTTTTCTAGATCCTACCATTTTCCTGCAAATTTCATGATTTCCTTGTTGTTAATTGCTGAGTAGTATTCCATTGTGTAAAAGTACCACAATTTCTGTTTCCATTTCTCTGTTGAGGGACATCTGGGTTGTTCTCTTTGCATTTTCTACACGTGGACATCCAGTTAGACCAGAACCATTTGTTTAAGATGCTATCTTTTTACCATTGTATGGTTTCGGAATTTTTGTCAAAAATCAGGTGTCTTTAGGTATGTAGATTCATTTATGGATTTTCTACACGATTCCATTGATCCACCATTTTGTTTCTATGTCAGTACCATGCAGTTTTTATTACTGTTGCTCTATAGTATACCTTGAGATCAGGGATGGAGATATCTCTAGCAGATATTTTATTGTACAGGGTTGTTTTAGTTATTCTGGGTTTTTGTTATTCCATATGAAGTTGAGAATTGTTCCTTCCAGGGCTGTAAAGAACTGTTATGGTATTTTGAGAGGAATTGCATTGAGTCTGTAGACTGCTTTTGGTAAAATGGCCATTTTCGCTATGTTAATCCTGCAGAGCTGTTAGCATGTGAGATGATTTAATCTTCTGATATCTTCTTCAATTTCTTTCTTCAGAGACATGAACATTTTTTCATACAAGTCCTTCACACAATTAGTTAGAGTTACACCAAGATACTTTATGTTTTTTTTTTTTTTGTGTGTGTGTGTGGATATTGTGAAGGATGTTGTTTTCTAGAATATCCAATTAAAAAATGGGGTACGAAGCAAAACAGAGAATTCTCAATAGAGGAATATTGAATGGCAGAGAAATATTTAAAGAAATGCTCAACATCCTTAGTCACCATGGAAATGCAAATCAAAACAACTCTGAGTTTCCATTTTACACTGATCAGATCCAATGGCTAAGATCCAAAATTCAAGCAACAACACATGCTGGAGAGAATGTGGAGAAAAGGGAACCCTCCTCCACTGCTGGTATGAATGTAAACTCATACAACCACTTTGGAAATCAATAGCAATACCTCGAGATCCAACTAGAGCACTCCTGGGTATATACCCAAAAGAAGCCCCACCATTCAACAAGGACATTTGCTCTACTATGTTTGTAGCAGCTTTATTCTTTTTTTATTTCTAATTTAGGTTTATTGCTTTTTAAAAATTTCTTTATTAATTACACCTTATTCACTTTGTATCCTCCCTGTGCTTCCCTCGTTCCTCCTGTCCCAATCCCTCCCTTCCTCCACCCTCTGCATGCATATCCCTCCCCAACTCCACTGATAGGGAAGGTCTTCTTTTCCTTCCTTCTGATCCTAGTCAATTAGGTCTCATCAGGAGTGGCTGCATTGTCTTCTTCTGTGGCCTGGTAATGCTGCTTTCCCCTCAGGGGGAGGTAATTAAAGAGCAGGCCAATCAGTTCATGCCAGAGACAGTCCCTGTTCCTATTACAATGGAACAGACAACCAGGAATAGCGCTTCCTCAAGATCCAGCTATACCACTCCTAGGCATATACCCAAAAGAGGCTCAAGTATACAATAAGGACATTTGCTCAACCATGTTTATAGCAGCCTTACTTGTAATACCCAGAAGCTGGAAACAGCCCAGATGCCCCTCAGTGGAGGAATGGATACAGAAATTGTGGTACATCTACACAATGGAATATTACTTAACAATAAAAAACAAGGAAAGCATGAAATTTGCAGGTAAATGATGGGATCTGGAAAGGATCATCCTGAGTGAGTTATCCCAGAAGCAGGAAGACGCACACAGTATATACTCACTCACATAGACATATAATACAGGATAAACCTACTAAAATCTGTACACCTAAAGAAACTAATCAAGAGGGAGGACTCTTGCTAAAATGCTCAATTCCTATCCAGAAAGGCAAAGAGCAGCTTTATTCTTAATAACCAGAATCTGGAATTAACTTAGATGTCCCTTAGCCAAAGAATGGATACAAAAATTGTAGCACATTTATACAATGGAATATTGCTTAGCTATTGAAAACAAGGAAATCATGAAATTTGCAGGCAAATGGAAGGATATAGAAAAGATCCTGAATGAGGTAACCCCTATGAACTCACTTA